TTAATTTTTAAATTACTTAACTAACTTTTTATAAATTTCTAATTCGTTATTTTACGTGATTATTATATGTGAAAGGAATACATTTATTAAAAGTAATACAAATTATTTTTCTCTAAAATAAAATACACATATTTTGATTTGCAAATATGAAGTCTGAAAAATTATGGTCTAAGATCTAACTTTAAAATCACCGATACATTCATTATTTGGATAAATTATTATTATATTTATGATTAAAAAAATTTGTGGATAAATAAATGAAATTGTAAATAATAAATAATAATAAATCACAAAATACGAAACTACCTACACAATGTTGAAGGAATCCCACAGTTAAGGTTACTAACCGGTACCAATATGGTCATTAATTCTAACTTCCACCCACTTACAGAGCTCTACTATAACAAGATATGAAAAACATGTGTAAGCAGGTATGAGTGTATCACATCCCATATAGTTACCATAATGTTTTATTTTTTTTTAAATTCAAATATTGTTAATAGTACTAATATTTATTAATAAATACCAATAGGCTTATTGAAATCGCTGAGGGTAATTTACATTTTATTTTAAATGGAATTGATTTTCGGATAAAAACGTATTTATGTATAATATACAATGTACCTGTATACCAAGTACCAACCAATCATTGCCCAAACATGTTTTAATAACATTTTAAATAGACTATCTTAAATTGTTAAAGAGATCAATAGGAGATAAGTACTAAGTTCTACATCACCTAATTTATGAAATTTAACTGTGGTTTTTAATTGGTATGAAGTATATCAGATAGTCGTGCATGAAATAGTTGCGTAAGATGTATATATTTCGAATTTAGATCATTCTCACAAAAATGTAAGCCGGTTTCTTCATTATATCTAAAATATTTCTTCATTTTTCTAAAACAATAGAAGCTTGAAATTTTGAACTCTTACTTTACATTAATTATAATGCATACTATCATAAAACAATTCTTAATTAATCTTCTTCTTTTATTCGATCACAGTGACGCCGAAGCAAGCTTATGTAGGAAATTTGTATTCTTTTCAACTCCTTAACCCTAGATTACTAACCTTATACACCTGCCTTCATTTCTAACCATTCGTCAACATGACGAATACTATAAATATTATGAACAATTAACGATTTTTAATTGGTTAAATTTAATAAACCATTAATTAAAATAATAATTTAATAAAACATAATACTTTTGGATAACTAATAACTTTTGGATAACTTTATTGTAAATACTAAATAATATTAGAGAAAAAAACATTTTAAAAGTATAAATTCGTTAAATTTCAAAATAGATTATAACTTCATAAAGTGCAAAATAATTATTAAAGTGTAGGTACAGGTATACACAGGTTATTTTGCATTACACATTGGACAAGTTACTATTTGATGTTCTCCACAAATATGTTTTTTACATGTTGCACATTGAGTTTTTGTCATTCGCCTTTTCTTATAGTTACAAAAGTTGCAAATTTTTTTTTGCCGGTTGATGTTCCCTCTTCTGTTTCTTGATGTTGTAGTTGAAATGTGTCTTTGATTCCTAAACTATCTTCAATATTTTTCCTCAAATTTGTCTCAAAAGTCTTGATCTCATCCAAACTTCAGTTAATTGTTCTTGTAAACTTATAATGAATTGAAAACGAGACAATGGGTTCGAGCCTACGGTATTATTTTTCATAAAATATGTAAATAAATAACATGCATTCATTGATGCTATATTGATCATGTTATAGAAAATACATAATGTCCAAATTTGTGTTTTTCTGCCAATTTTCGTACTTTGACACATTTGATCAAAGCTGTCGACACCACCTTTTGTTTCATTATAGTTCATAATAATAATTGGTTTATTATTTGATTAATTTATTGAGTTATCATCATGAAGTGAAGAAATTAAAGTAACAAGTTTATTTGGTGTTGCTTTGGTATGACACAGCTACAAAACTATTGGCAAATAAAAATAACGATGTATATGTATATTATGGGTGGTTGTTGGTTAGTCAAGTAGTTAAGATGGAATAAAATAATTGTATTTAATTATGTTTATATATTATTAAAAATATCATTGTCAATTTATTGAAAGGTTAGATTTGAAAATCGAGCATTTTGTGCATGTATTTTGGGTGCTTGATTTTTGATTCGTCTACATTTAACTTTTTACTTTGGTTCGGTTACAAATATGTTGTATTAGCTAATAGCTATTAGCTTATCTTGTCAACAAATGTAGAAGATTATGATTATTTATAATATTATTTTATATTATTATATTCTTGTCTGCAATTGGATTTTAATTAGTTTGTTTCATATTTTTTTAGCAGTCATTTAAAAACCAATAATGTCCAACCATTAAAAACGTATTTTATAATGTGTATACCTATTATTATAATCTATAGGTGTTTCCTAACTGGTGTTCCGCGAAACTCAAAGGTGGCGCGAGCCAGGGCCATGGGTTCTGTGAGAAATCTGAGAACACATAAATCGATTAATTATATTTTTGGTTTGAATTATGATTCAAATTTAGAATAGCTCCTTTTATCGATAGAACTTTTTCTTATCTCATTATAGAATGATTTTATAACGTTATTGTTGGTCGTCGATCTATATATATATATTGCTCTGTATTCATTCATCATATCTACGACCATTAGTGAGCAGTCGACTAATGAAACTCGCTATACACTTTTTTTGTAATGATTATTAATTTAATAAATAACATATTATTATAATATTAATAATACTTCCCACACCTATTGTTATGAAGATGTGATTAAGTTTTTTTATGTGGTAATAATGCCGCAACGAGAAATAAAGAAAATGTCTTCAGCGCATTCGAAACACGATGGATACATACATATAATACAATCATAAATTATCGCAGGTTGAAGTACCTACGTATATTTCTCATCATGGTAATCTCACGCGTTCTTGCGATATTCGATAGAAAAATATGTTCGGTACAAAATAGATGATTATGATGAAATTATGAAAATACTCTAGCCTAAAAGCACATTATTGAATACGCTTTCTTATTAGAAACTAAAATCATAATATTAATTATTTATATTATTATTCACTTACATTGTCGTTGGGTAGATGAATATTTGGCAAACTTCAATATTTTCGTTTACACTTTTTTATTTATTTAGTGGTAAACCTTGTTTATTATTTATAAAAGTAACCTATTTAGTTGTCAGTACGATAATAAATTCGAATTTTTAATTCTTATCAGGTTATTATTATTTATTATTCATTTTTATTGAATTCAAATAACTCTTGTTGAGCTATACTATAGTTATTATTCATTATGTTATTCGAAAACATTTACAAAATTTGGCTTCTTAAAATTATTATAGGTATAGGTATCGTTGTATCGTGAATCATGATTAGGTAGGTAACCTTACTGACTGGGAATACGATACAAAAATGTATTGAATGATTCGTATAATAACTATATTATATTGATTATAACGGTAATGCACACAAATACATAATATGTATATCATACAAAGAAGTATGCCATACGTGCCCTTCACCACAAAGAAAGTTTATTATTTACTACTGCATACATGCATGGACATTCCGACGACGTATTTAACTTAGAGAATATTATACACTATGATTATTAATTGGGCATATAATTTATTATAATATAATAATAAGCCGATTACCAATCGACGAAATTTCTCTAGAAATGTTGATGTTTAATAAGCGTATAGTTCTATATTATTATGCAGGCATCACCCATCGTTACGAAAAGAAATTATAATATACTTACTTTTATAAATTAAAATGTATGTATGAACCCAGATGATTAACAATGATTATTAAACTAATTAATATAGGTTTTTTTAACATAAATTTGACTATTCTTTACAGTAGGTCATGTGGACGAGTAGGACTTGGGAGTGAATTGCAACTGCTTTGTTTTAAAATGCATATATTTAGGCATATTTCATGCATAATACATAGGTTGTAGTTCATTGTACAATATAACCACAGGAAGTATTTGAGTCATTACAAATGTAATTGCTTATAATTAATATTTGGTAATTAGTTAAATTACCTGGTAAATAAATAATAGGAAAAATAATTCTTAATTCGATGATATTGTATTGAAGTGTAGTGTATTGAATGTAACACTGGGCATGAAATTTCCAATTTCATAAGTTCGGTAACTGATAGACTTAAAAACTATAGGTATGCCTTTAACAGGAACAATAAATTAACATTTTGTGCATTACATCACATTACATACGGTATTTAAGAAATGTGTATTATAATATTTCAATGCGATGATTTATAATTTATTAAGCTATGTTATAGGCTGAAATTAAAATAACCTACCTTTATGCCAATGTCACTATAAAACAGCACCTATAACAATATTGAACAAATAAAAACTAATGAGATTTTAAAGGTTTATCGTAGTAGTCACCATAAAATAGTTCTTATACCAAATAGGTATTATAAATTTGACAAAATAGTTAGAAAAAAATTATGTTCCAGCTAAGAATATACATTTTAATATTTATGTCTACCTATTGACTATTCAAGTTTACTTGTATCCATCTATTTTTAGTAAATATAATTTAAAAATATGCGTTTTGAGAATACGCGAGGATAAAGTGAAACTTCTTTACTTCTTTATGGTATGAAGAAAAAAGATTATCTCTCGTCACGGTTAAATATTAGGTTTGTATCATAATAAAATAAAATAATAAAATTTTTAATTGAAATTAATTATTTTTATTATTACTATACGAAGTTAAGACAATGATAATTATTTATTACCATACTATCGAAACGACCGGTAGCGACAGCCGATCGTGATGGGTGAATAATGGTAATATTTTTTTTTCGTACCCTCTATAAAGAAGTTTCACTTCAAAAAATGAATGCTGAAGAAATTGAAAATGTTATTGATTATATCTACATGGTTTTACATTTTGATTGTATATTCATTTCCACTTAATATTATTTCACAGGTAAAATGATAAGACAAATATTCTTGTTTGTTTTTGGATTGACAATTGTTGTAGCACAGAGGAGATTAGCATTACCAGATCCACGCAGTTGCTCTAGTAGTAAGTTTATACATTGCATTATTATTATAAAAATAAATTCAAAAAAGATAAGACACAAATAAATTATGAATGCTATTTATACATTATATATACTTAGTGTTTATTGTAATTATATTGTATAACTCTTGTATGGTATGTTACTGGTTACTTCCAAGTTCCAATTCATTGTGTAAGTACACACCAAATTTCCATAATACACAGAAGTGCCAAGCCTCTGAGGTACTAGTGTCCAACTCCCTATCAACATCTATTTTATTTCTTGTTGATTTTACCAGCTCATTACATTTTTAGTCTAAATACAAAAATTATTTCATGTAATGGTGGTCCCACGTAATATCACTTTAGTCATTATTTATTTTGTTACCTACTATAGTTAAATAATACTTGGACATTTTTTCAGGAATTCGTCATGCTTCATATCGAGATGCCCGTGGAGTTACACATTCCTATTTTTTCAGCTGGGAACATGCCCCTACTAAAAGCTTGGAAGTAGATTGGCTTGATGCCAGGAACATCTGTCGTAGACATTGCATGGATGCTGTAAGTTTAGAAACTCCACAAGAGAATGAGTTCGTCAAGCAAAGAATATCTAGAGGTAATCCATAATATCATTCAATATTTTTTATTCCCGAATTATGTTTAAATTGTATTTAATTTTAAAGGAAATATAAGATACATTTGGACGTCGGGACGAAAATGTAACTTTAACGGATGTGACCGTCCCGATTTGGTACCGGCTAATGTCAACGGTTGGTTTTGGTCTGGTTCTGGTGCAAAAATTGGACCAACCACTCAACGTAATTCTGGTGACTGGAGCCACACAGGAGGGTTTGGGCAAGCACAACCAGATAACAGGGAAGCACCACAAGTATGTTTTAATTGTCTTTAATAAAACTAAACATATTTTAAGTATTTAAATTACATAGTATCAAGGCGTTTCGTGTATTGAGCTGTAATTGTTAAAAATATATAACAGTTTATTACAGGAACACATTTAATATCCTTTAATCCTTTAAATTGTTTTAAATAAGATAATTAAATAAATTTAAGTTTTACATAAAAATACTTATCTGATTGAATAATTGAGTTTGGATTTACAATCCATGGATTGAAAATAGAGACTAGGCCCAATCGGCAATATATGTCTTAACTCACTAAAAACTTAAAGTCAAGATCTTAAAATAAAATTGATACTAATTTAGTATTTATAATTAACAACTATTCCACTATATATTCTAATTCATACCATATACACCCGAATAACAGTATATACATGGCCTATTTAATTTGGTGGTTATGTTACAATTTTTAAACATTTTATTTCTATATTGATGATAACTAATAAGAATGATTTTTTAGGGCAATGATGAATCATGTTTAGCCGTATTGAATAATTTTTACCAAGACGGAGTGAAATGGCACGATGTTGCATGTCACCATTTAAAACCATTTGTATGCGAAGACAGTGATGAACTTTTAAACTTTGTACGTTCGCGCAACCAAGGAATTCGTCTATAAGATACTTTGTAATCTTGTATTTAAGTAAATTATGTTAATATATTCATTAAAGCACGAAAAAAAATACTAAGAAAAATCAATTTAAAACAATGTATAAATATACTACCCCAACCTACAATACATATTATAGTTGAGTAGTCTGTATACAATAAATTATTTATTTTTCCCGATTCGGCTATTTTGTGAGTAAACAATATTAAACTATCATTTACCTACTTTTAATTTTATATTTAAATCTTAAGTTTATGATTATATGTATTATTAATAAAGTTTTTTAATTTTTTATATGAAAAAAAAATTGGTCTTATTATTCGTTGCCTATTGTAGTTGATACATTATAGTGTACTTGAAATTTTTGTACGCGGACTGACAAAGATCTAGATGTTGGTGGTTTATAAATAAATAGTTGAAGACAATATTCAATAGTTTATATGGTAATAGTTTATTTTTCTTTAATTTAATCAAAAATTATAAAAGTGTACAACTATCTGGTCTAGTTGCTCAGGTCTCAACGGCTATGGCGCATCTGGATAATATGCTGAATTCCCGGCTCCCTTATAAGTGGTATTCCTATTCCATTTTTCTGGACCGGAGCTTTGTGAAGTTGTGATTAAAGGTATTTGTCCTTGAAACAGTTGTCTTCATAAAAATGCGAATAACTGGGTATAATTAATATTGTTTAGCTTATAATAACTAAGGCCGTGACTTTTAATCCACAAAATCCACATATTTCTCGGGTTCGTGGAATTGTGATCATCCTATGTCGTTTTTAGCAATAGCTGGAATGCTTACACATAACATCTGTTGTTGGCTGTTGTACTTCAATGTCCACGATATGCATAACCTTATTATAATTTATACCAGTACTTATGGATTTTAGAAGTTCAAAGTACGTAATACGATATTTAACAAAAACTTTATAATTGTTTATTTATTGCATTAGTATCTGTGAGTCGTGAGATATCGAGAAAGACACTACTAATTTGAGGTATTAAATGAAAGTCTTAAGAATAATTGGTGTGTACACAAATTAAGATATCTAATATTTATAAAAATATAATCAGTAGAGTTTGGCCGATACCACTTTTTTCCGATTTCCGATATTCCGATAAATATAAAACCGATAACCGATCCGATATTTTATTTTATCGGATCCATGTACCGATGTAATTTCTGAAAAACCTATACCCGATACAAAACCCGATAAAAGACCTGTGACATATCAAAACATTTTAGAACTACGCAAGGATAATTAATAATCATTATTAATTATTATTAATTAATTCAACCAACCAAAAAATAAAAATTTAACAAAAATATTTTTTTAAATACATTTGATTAATAATTATTTGAAGAATTATAAAAAAATACAAATCTTCTGTACAAAATAAGGAATATGGAGTGCATATTCAAAAAGTATAAATTATAATATAACTAATAAGTTTCAACTTGTTTCAAGAAAAATATTAAATTAAATGTACTTCTGGTTCTTATCCAGTAAAATTAATTACTTCACTTTTTCTGTGTTAAGTGAATTCCTTTTTGATGAGCAAACTAATCCAGGTATCCTAAATGATCATTCAGTATCCACAGAGCTAGGTGGATAATAATGATACTTTACTGGTCATGAGACCTTTTATTTTGGAAACTGCCCTGTAATGAAAAACATATTCATTTATATTCAGTATTTTTTTTTGTAAGTACAAGTAAAATTCTATATCTATTACTTTGTACTAGTACTTTGTTCAACATTTGAAATTTCTTCTAGTAAAATTATAGAGAATATAGAAAATTGATGTATTGGATTTTGCTTTTGTTTGAACTGTTTGTTCTGTGCGGATAATAGTCTCATTAGTATTTTGAGAATTTTGACACATCAAGAGATACATAAATTTTATTTTGCATATTAAAAAATACCTTGCTTCCTTTGCTATTTCAACACTAGAAAATACCTTATCTTTAAACTTCGGATTAAGTAAAGTGCTGATCGAGAGAAGCTCTTCTCTTTCAAAGTCAACAAACCGTTTTTGTAATTTAAGTTTAATACTGAGTTATAGATTCCAACCATTGAACTGACTTTCTTACACAGGGCTTAGTATTGTTTTTCCTTTATCAGTACATCGTTAATTGTCTGAACAGCAAAATATTAAATAATTTATTTGATAATGAATAGTAGGTAAATACTTATTTATTTATTTATTTATTTAAGTTTTAAACGGGCCAGGACCAATTACATTAATTATGTCAGCATAGTATTATTTTTTTCAATATAAATAAATACAAATGTATAACATAATAAAATATTAAAGATGATAGTAACGGGTATATCATATTTGTTTGAATAATACAATAGTAATAGTATTTTGTAAAAACAACAATAATAATAATAAAATACGTGCAATAGTATCTATATTCAATATCGCCATATTTAATGTCATGTATAGTATGTTCAAATTGATTACCTATACATAATATTGTCAATATAATTAAGTACCTATTGTCTTATTTTTTTTTTGTCAGCAACGCCATATATTATGCTAACTACCTAGTCTACATACATAATTCTAAATTTCTCTACAATAGTTACAGTTTGATGACATTTTTACTCGGCTACAAAAATATTTCAACCTAGGAACTAACCAGTTGTAACAGAGATATCATAAAGCGTTTCTATACATGAGCTTTTTAAAACTGATAAAAGTTCAACAAGAAGTTTAAGTTGCGCACATAAGTGCATGGTAAATAAACTTATGGGTACCTATGTGGGCATGCAATACGGACTTTTTTTTAGGAATGAAATTCGGATGCAACCTTTTTTGGGGACTAAATTTCTAGGGTTACCTATATTTGTAAAAATGGTTCTTCTCCCCCCCTAAAATAAATTGTTGTGAAGCTTATTTATATCAATATTTTGAAATTAATTTTTACGAGTCTACACGGAAAAAAATAATTTGGTTATAGTAAATAGTTGGAAAAATTTTGGTTGGCCTAACAATACACAAGATTACACCAACTAAGACTTAATGTTGAGAATACTAAAAGTAAATAGTTGGAATTTTTGGTATTTTCAATATAATTAACGGTAATTGCAACTTTATTTTATAGTTCGTAAAATATTTAACCATAACGAAGGGTTCGATTGACACTTTTAAAATGGTTAGAATCCAATAGTTCGTATTACTAAAGTATACGGTTCAATTAACAGTAAAATAAGGTTATTACTTATTTCAACCACAACTATATGGTTAAAAATATTGAAATTGATAAAAATATAAAATTATAAGAATCCTATGGGTAAATCCCATCTCATGCCATCAATACATGGGTGGGTGGTGACGGGGTGAAACAATTATTATTATGCTGCGATACTGGGTAATAACCAGGGTTCGGGACTTATAGCACTTTAAAACACAATAATAAGCGCTAAAATATGCAATTAAAAACCCTAGAATATGCATAAAAAATTAAAAAATATGCATTTAATATATTTATTATTTTATTAATAACTTAATCATTTATTACAATTAGTGTCACATAAAAAATTTTTAAAATAAATCAACTGATTGTTTCTTGAATTTCCGAGTTTTTTGAATTTTATTCGT